GCTGCTCTTACCAGAAACAAAAGCAACCCTGCCCACCTGGAACAAGGGGCACACAGTATGTTTGTCGGACCAGGAGCCCTGGCAGAAGGCAGGAATACTGCACAGCCCTTGTCTCACTCCAGAGCGGGCCAGGTTCCACAAGATCCGCAGCACAGCTCTCAGCAGCAGAAGTGCCGGGACTGCAACAAAGCACATGAAACCCCGGAAGTGAGCCACGACAAGGGTCGGCCTTCAACTCAACCCCTGCCTGACCAAGGATCTCAACAGAACACACAGCATTCCGACACATCCACAGTCCACAGAAAAACAGGAGGACCCAGGGGGTGGGAGAAGGCAGCGACGAAAGCCCGTGTTTTGACCAAATGGAAGGAAAAACTCATGAACATAGCAGCCCCGCGAATCCCAACGGACAACAGCTTCACGCCCCTGATCGAGGGGACAGGGGACCCCAACACCGACCACATCCAAGATACGCCCCTGACCGAAGGGACCACGGACACCATCGCGGGCCACAATCACGACACTCCTACGTCTGCTATGGATGGGGTGGAGACAGCCACGGACGACCCCCTGGGTCACTTACCTATGGACCAGTCAAGCTCCCCCCCCCACACCCAGACGGAAGCGGTCTGCTATCCTCCCATCATTATTGACCCTCACAACGAAGCAGGCAAGGCACAGGCGGCAGGTGGCCCATTTCTGGTCAATCTGCTGCTGTGCTCCACCACACTGGGAGAAACGGGTCATGTCCAACAGACAGGCTGCAACATCACAATATCGCTAGAGCTCTCTGCAATGCTAAAAAATTACAACATCCGGGCAATGCAGAATTTTCCGGGCAATTGCCTACCCCCACAACAGCCAGACCTCACCCCCCATTGCCTCCACAACAGACTGACGGGGAGAGGGAGGGGCTCCCTCTTCCACCCCACTATCGCCAGGAGATGACCGCAACAGCAGAGGCACCCCCCCCTCCACCCGAGGTGGAAGTGGAGATGGGAGGAGGGGAGGAAGGAGACAACGAGACTGGCCAGGGGGGGTGGAAGTTGAGAGGGGAGGAGAGGAGGGAGGGGACAGGGAGACAGGCCAGGGAGGACGAGAAGAAAACCATAACAAATCTCGTCACGGTCGACCCCTCTCAAGGAACAAGAAGGTCAGAGCGAGACTCAAAGTGATCACGGACGCTGTGCTCATGGGGATCCTAAATACCGCAGGCCAAGGGAAACACTCACAAATTTCCCCCCTGCACTGGGAAAACATAAGAAAGATCGTCATGTCCACCCCCTCTACCTCCCAACTCCTGGACAACGCAACAGATCCAGCAGCCATAGATTGGAGAGCTGTTGCGGCCCTTATAATGCAAACGGCCCACAATCTGATACAAAGGATTCAAAAGGCCTCTCAACAAGAGAGCCAAACGACAACAGAACAAGTGATTGTTACGACGACCCGTCACTACAATAGGACAACCTATACATATAATTTCTAATTCCAACATGCCCAACACCTTTAACCTATCTCCCTTCCACCTCATCCTTTTCCCAGCAGAGTACTTCGAATCGTGATTCCGGTGGGATCCGAATTGCCACACTCGTGCACTGTCTGGACAGGGAGCGAATGCTTGATAGCTTTGAAAAGGCCAGGCTTGCTTATGTGCCCTTTGGTGTTCCGGTGAATCCGTAAGGTGGGTCTCCTGTAGGCAGATTACGTATGGCCACAATCTATCCCCCACCCCCCTTATTAGATCCCTTAGGGCTTTGATTTTGTCCGGGGTGCGGGAAGCCAGGCCATTAACGTTGATTGTTCTGACATCAAGGTCTGCTTGTTGTAGAATGTGCTTCCACTTTCTTTTTTTCCCATACACCACTTCAACCCAATTCATCATTGGATGTGTATCCCTAGGCCTTCTCCTATTGCTATAAGAGGTGTGACCATTCCTGGGCAACCCAATATCGTGCAGATGCATGACAGAATTTCATCCGCCGACCAGATATTACTCGACTTAAATTTGAGTTGTTGGGTGTCTAGGAGCATGTTATGTGTGTACTACAGCAACCCAGCCTCTTTATTGTCCGCGAATCTTACATATATGTCCTTGTAGGCCATCTTTAAGCCTACTGTGGATACACTAATGGTGGTTGTTGCCCCTGGTTCGAAATGACTGGCGATAAAATTTGTGACTTCGTGGGTTTTTAATACCGGTCCCCTTCTCTCTGCATATGCCATCCCTGTAGCGTCATTCCTCCATAGGAGGGAGAGTACGGATCGTCCGTCTCGGCGGGTGGCAGGCCCAATTCCCACTTTCCGGCCTTCCTTCTAAGCGGTAGCACTAATACCTTGTCCCCTTTTGACAAAATCTTATTATGCAACCCCTTTTTAATAAGATGGCGTACTTTAATTCTCCTTGATAGGTCGGTTTCTGCTGCCTCTATTGTTTCCCTCTCTCCCTGCTCAATAGCCATATCCTCTTCTACGTGTATTTGATCAGGGGGGTGTGGGGGGCCCTTGTCACGGTGACTTTTGTCTAATTGACTCGCCGAGTTCGAGAAGTTTCCTAATTCCTTAGACAGGTCAGGGGTCTCTGCCGTTGGGGGGGGCTGGAACTTTTGATGCACAATGCTCCAAATCCTGCTGAACACCTATTGCCAATCGACCCCCGGGGGGGGGGGGCGTCCCAAGACTTACTTCAAGTTGGGGCTTTCATCTAGAAGGGAGAAGAGATATACATAAGCCTCATCCCAGTAGGTCACGAATTGGCCTACGTATAGAGCTTGAAGCTGGCCAATAAGTCATTCCGCCATACTCCTGAGCCTGGTCTTAACATCCTCCTCCCCTTGGGATCCCCAGGCCTCGGGGGCGCTGTCCCTCATCTCCTCATCCGGAGAGGCCCTCGGTTGTTCCCAATCCATGGGTTGGGGGCCAAATGCCTGGGAGAAGGGGTCCATTATGGGGGGGGATTCTCCACTGCCAGACTCAGGGTCTATTCCGAGGACTTCTTGTGGGGGGGGGGGGGGGTTCGTTATGCCCTGATGGACCACCTCCTGAGTTGTCCTATCTTCCCCACCTCCCCCTTGGGTTAAATGTGCCCGGCTACTCCCACCAGGGGGAATCCTTCCCCCTTCCTCTCCTTCTGCCTTGGACCTCTGTGCTCTACCGTCTCTACCGGGGTATTCCAAGCTCCGTACACCCTTGTCTCCCCCAGAATGGACCCCTACCTCGGTAGCCGTTCCTTTCCCATCTTCCCCTTGGGTTGCTTGTGTCTTACTACCCCCTTCCCCTCCTCCTTCTTTGGACATCTGTTCCTGCCGTCCATCCCTCCTACGTTGTTCCTTCCCCCCCGATTCTCCTGACGATTGTGTCGCTACGTGACTATCCCCTGTTCCTGTTGCCAAGATTTGAAAGGGGTTGTTTATTTCGAGGGGTACTGGATCGTTCTTTTGCTTGTTAGGGGGGGGGTTCTTTTTCGGCAGTGAGGTCTGTCACAATTCCTTCATGTTCGAGAGGGTGATCAAATCTTGGGGTTTGTCGCTCCTGATGAGTCTTGTTGTTTATCAGCCTCTTCGGGGGAGGAAAGGTGCGGGGAGTTGATGGTACCTTCCATATGGGCTTCCACCGATTTAGGGGGAGTCCATTGATCCGGAGGTTTTGAGTTCCAGCTAACTTCCGAGTCATCGCCCTTCTCCCATTCCCACCCTTGTACCCCTCCTCCCCCTCGAGGTTCGTCTACATAGACCCAACCTTCATGTCCTGCATCCACCGTCCTCCACCAGGTATCTTTGAATGGGTCCCGTAGTAGGCGACCTTTCGACCTGATTCTCTTAGCCGGGTGGTGAGGGCAGTGTAACTTAAGGGGGAGGTGTCCGTATGCCTGACACTTAAAGCACCAAGGCCGTGTTTTGTGCGATGTGTGTATCCGAAAGTCCTTTCCTCCCACCCGGAAGGGGATTACATCATCAATGGTGAAGATATGATCATCGGGTAAATCCAGGGCCACCATAAGGTAATCATCCCTCTGGGCTACGTGGGGGGGAAGGGGGTCAATAAAATCAGCGATCCCGTATTTTTGGGCGAGTTCCTGCACGAAAGCCCCTTGTATCTCTATGGGCACATGACGGAATTCCACCCAATAGTAGTCTGCCATTAATTGCTCCCTTTTTTCTTCTGGATTTTGTTGCTTCGGGGGGGCCCAAGGAAAGATCCGGACCTCTGACCGCCCACACGGTATGCTTCGCCAAGACTCCATGATGCTCTTATCAGTGTCAAACATACAGACTACGGTAAAGACAATTGATGAGACGGGTTGGATCAGGAAGAAATCTTGAGCCCCCTCCTCTGATCCTTTGAGGGTTGTGAGGCGCTTCCTGATTCATCCCACCTTATCATTGGCCGATTTATAGGCGGCATCATCATAGAAAACCTACGTACTAGCATGACGAGTATAAATCGCGTCTCTTTCTTTGATCATATCTTGTAAGAGAGTCTTAACCCGATGCTTTTACCCCCTTTGATTGATTACTTTATCTTCTGGGTTAGCCAGAAATTTTGCGAGGAAAAAGGCTGAAGTTGTGGTCAAATTGTCCAGCAGTATCTCAAGGTTGTCCTCCCCTTCCTTATCCCTGTTGACTGACAGAGTCTATCCTAAGTATATCTTCTTAAGTTTATCAGCCCATGATTGCTTGCCCTCACCCACCTTCTATACTATCCCTATGACCTTTGGCATATCCTTCTGGCCTGGATATGAGCGAGGGTCTGAAATGTCCATATGATCAAGGAGGGGGGGGGGGCGGGAGGAGGACGCCCCTTCCGTCGTACCTATCTCCGTCTTCTCCTTCCCTCCCCAAAGTCTCCAATCTGATGAGTGATTACCCATAGCACCTTGATACCATATTGTCCGTGCATGCTTCCTTCCCCTAGCTTCATTCTTTAGACTAGCCATTCTGCCTACCTGTTCACAAGTGTCAATTGAGGAGGGATCGAGAGGGTGAGGGAGATCGGAGTTGGGGAAAAAAAGGGGGGGGGGAGGAGTATGTGGGTGGAACGAGATGGTCAGGGAAGTATGATGAGAAGTTGCGAACGGGTCGCAAAGACGGGGGACAAGATCGCAGTCAGGGTCAGGGGTCAACGGGGGGGAGATCAGGATCCCAGGGGAGAGGGTCGGGGTTTCAGGGCGAGATCGCAGTGGGGAGAGGAGGGGGGATCGCATGAAAAATCGGGATTGCGGAGGTCTGGATCACAATCGAAAGGGGGCTGGTCTCACCTGAAGCCCAAGGATGGCGGTGGGGTCAGAGGACAAGGGGGAGGGAAGTTGGAATCGGGGTCACGGGGTAAGGGGGGAGTCAGGGAGAAGCCCGGATGCGGAGGGGGGAGACAGGAGGGTGGGGGAACGAGGAGGGGAGAGGAGGGGGGGGCGGCGGGGTCGGGAAGATGGGGAGCAGAATTGGGATTACCGGAGGGATCAGGAGGATGGGAAGTCGGGATCGCGAGGGGGTGGGAACAGAGTCGAAACAAGGAAGCGGAGCAGAGTAAGGGGGCGGCTGGAGGATGGGGAGTCGGGATCCGGGGGGGGACAGAGTCGGGGGGACGGGGAGTTATGGGGAGACGGGATGACGAGGAGAGCGGGATCAGGATCACAAGAGGGATCGGGGTCGCAAGGTATGAGGAGAGACAGGGATGAGGAGCGGGGGAAGAATGGGGAGTTGGGATCCGGGGGGAGTTCGAGGAAATGGGGAGTATGGGGAATCAGGATCACAAGGGGGGCGAAATCAGAATCGCGGAGGGAACGGGGTCGTGTGGTAAGAAGGGACTCAGAAATCGGGGGGGTGGGGAAGGAGCCGGGGGGGGGGGGGGAAGGGGGGAAGGACGGGGGATCGTGATCGAGAAGGGGATGGAATCGGGATCGCAGGAGGGAAGAGGGGTGTGGAGTCGGGATCCGGGGGGAGTTATGGGGAGATGGGATGACGAGGGGAACGGCATCAAGATCGCAGGAGGGATCGGGGTCGCAAGGTATGAGGAGAGACAGGGGTGCAGAGATAGGGAAGAATGGGGAGTCGGGATCCGGGGGGGGGGTCGAGGAGTTGGGGAGTATGGGGAATCGGGATCACAAGGGGGACAGAATCGGAATCGCGGAGGGAACGGGCGCGCGGGGAAAGAAGGGACTCAGAAATCTGAGGGATGGGGAGGGATCCGGGGGGGAACAAAGTCGGGAAGATAAGGAGGATGGGGGATTGGGATCGCGATGCAGAGCGGAAAAAAGATGGGGAGTCGGAATCCGGGGGGGGATCGGGAAGATGAGGAATATAGGGAAACGGTATCGCGAGGGGAGCAGAATCAGAATCGAGCAGGGATCAGGGTCACAGGGCAAGGAGGGACTCAGAAAACGGGAGGATGGGGAAGGAGGCAGAGGGAACGGGTCGCGGGGCAGGGAGAGGGATAATTCGTAGCAGGGTCGCAGGAAAGGAAGGAAACAGAGAGAAGTCGGGTTCACCAGGGGAGCGGGGTCGGGGAGAAGGGAGTTGTTGCGGTGTGCTTACCTCCGGGCTGTTCCCCTTCCTTCACCGGGGAAGATCCCCGGGGCCCCAAAGAAAGGGGGAGCAGTTACCCGAAGATTCTTCAAGATTTCTGCGTGTCGAGCTGCGTAGAGTCGGCGTCCTTCGCCGTCGTCTCTCCTTCGCCACTTGATGTCCTTCTTTATCTAGCTCGCCTCTCCTTGGTCCCGTCCTCTACAGTCTATGCTCCCCCCTCGCCGGTGTCCAATCATGTCTTCTCTCCTTCCCCGGCTCGCTAATTGCCTGTATGTTGCTGCTCCGTCCTTTCTCTTACCTCGTTTCCACTCCTCTCCTGTTCGTCGACACCACGTTTCGTTTCTGCCGCCGTGCAGTGTGCGACCAGGATTGTCGGGAAAACTCGCTCCCCTCCTTCCTTATTCTGCACCAGTTGCTCTGATGCTAACTATGTCCTATTCCAATCTTACTCTATCTGCACCACGGTTTCACCACCAACGCCTAGCTCCAGAGAGCGTGAGCTCAGATGAACTCAAGGAAAATTTCCAGGCCGTTTCCCCATACTGGGTGGCACTCTCTGAGTTCGTAGATCCCAACAGTAACATCCTGCAGACAATCCAAGTAGTGGAAGGCCTGTCTGCAGGGGTGATCACTCACTAGATAAACCAATCTGCCCTGCAAGAATTCGTTCTCTCGGAACAGTTTGGAGCTGAGTTGAAGAACCCGTGGACTCTCACTGAGCTCCCCACCTCCGCAGAAGAAGAAGACAAGCGGAGGAAGTTGTTGGGAGACCAGGCTCGCCATATCCAGCAGCGCGGCGGTTCGGTGAGACCTCCAAATTGTCCTACCAAACCGCATTAGAGTTGCCTGCTGGAATGTGAGAGGCCTGGGCGATACCACGCACATGCATAAAAATAGTAGAATAGCTTCTTGGTGCCATACCCAAAAAATCCACACCCTATGCGTGCAGGAATCCAAGTTGGATAAAAAAAAAATTTCCCAGGCCCAACACTGGTGGAACGGTCCGCAGTTTTTGGCCCCAACTGATGGTACTAAAGGGGGAATATGAATCCTGTTGTGCAAGGACTTTGACACAGAAATAATAGACCTGCATAGACGTTTTGTCTGGGTAAAGTTCACTGTTGAAGAAGAAGATTGGGCGGTCATGTCCATTTATACACTAGTAGACTACCGTGAGAGAATAAAGTTCATTAAGAACTTCCCCGCATACGTACCGAACACAAAAAACCTTCTTATTGTAGCAGATTGGAACATAGTCCTACTCCCAGGACTGGACTCACCAGAAGTAACACCCACAAGACAAGATACTAGTCTCCTTTCGAAATTTATGGTATCCCGTGATTTCACTGACATCTATCGGGTCATGAACCCGGATACTCCAGGATACACCTGTTGTGGTCCCCCTCCCTCAAATCATCATCTAGCCCCTAGGAGAAGGCCAGATTTCTTACTTGCTAGGGGCCCCTTCAGCGAGAGATGTTCGAAAGTGGAAACACAAGTTACCTACACCTCGGATCACTATCTGGTGCTGACGGAGTTCATCAGTACCGATTAAATAGAAAAACAACGAGGCACCTTTAGACTAAACTTCACCCACCTTTAGGATCCTGGTGTCACAAATTGGATAAAAAGACACCTGCTAAGATGGAACGAAGCTAGGGATTTATTCGAGACCGAAGAAGAATGGGTTAATGCAGGCGTTAGGACGATTCAATTGGCAATGGATGTTTTCTCCCAAATCAAGGCAGGGAATCACATCATCAAGGAACAAGATGCTATCATCAATGCAGCATACAAGTTTATACAATTAGTTAAACTGAATTTGAATATAATAAAGATGATTTATTTTGACCTTTCATTACACACTCACATTGCCAGAGGCCCCAATTTTTCAAAATTCAATTCATCTCTCCTCAACAAGCCTTCTTTGGAGAAACTGGTCAAAGACTTCTGGGGCTTTTGGACCACAACGAAGCCGCCTGAAGGGTCCACGGTCAACTGGTTCAATGAAGGGATAGCACATCTCAGAGAAAGAGTTAAAAAACTCTCTATCCAAATAACACCAGACTGCAAGGCAATTATGGATCGTCTACTGCTGGAGGAGTGGGACCAACACCTCATGGACAACGCCTTTGACCTACCAACATACGAGGCACTACAAAGAGCAAGGGTCCAATTACAAGATCACCTCTTTGACCAGGCCCAAAAATGAAGGATCCATGCAAAAATAAAAAAAGACGCATCGGAAGGCATGATGACCAAGACCTTTTTCAACAAAGCAAAGGCAAGGGCCAGACAAAATGTGGTGCCATCCTTAAAACTTCCTTTTGATGACACCCAACCAAAGGTTACAAATGCTTATCAAATTGTCGATTACGCCTCGACCTACTATACCCACTTGTTCACCTCTGAGACCGGCCAAAGACAACCCCAGGCCTTGGAAGAGGCGAGAGAGGCACTTCTACACGCCCTCCCCTCCTTGCTGTCAACACAACAAAGACACACCTTGGACAGCGCGCTCACCTCAACAGAACTCCTACAGGCACTGCAAGACATGAACGATGAAAAAACACCGGGTCGGGACGCCTTCCCCAAAGAATTATGACTGCACTTTTGGGAAACTTTCAGGGAGGACTTCCGGGGGTATGTGAATGCAGTGTTTCATGAGGAGACGTTTGGGGAGATGATGGGTCAAGGGGTGACCACCCTGCTATATAAAAAGGGCGACAGAAGATAAGGAACTATCATCCGATAAACCCTTTGTCAGTCCCCTACAAATTAGTAGCTAAAGCGTGGGCGAACAGGCGACTGCCGACCTTGCGACACCTGATACACCCGGATCAGTCAGGCTTCATGCCCAACAGAAACATACAGGACAACATTTTGCTGGTCAATGAGACCATCCGATACGCACGCCAAAGGAAAGCCGACGCCGCCATACTTTTCATTGGTTTTGAAAAAGCATATGACCACATTGAATGTAATTTTTTGGAACTATGCCTATATAAAATGCAGTTTGGACCGCACTTTTGCAAATGGGTCAGCATTTTCCATAGAACAGCCTCCACCAACATTATGCTCAATGGTCACCTTGCAGCCCCGTTCCGCCTCCAACGCTTGGTAAGACAAGGGGATCGCATCGCCTCGATGTTATTTGTCCTCATTATGGAGGCCCTGGCGCCCCTGGCGACGATGATAAGATCGAACCCACTCATCCAAAAGATCAGTGGGCCTGAGATCCCAACACACCTTATCCCCACAACATCATTACTCGTTGATGATCTCACAGTCTTGTTTAAGGCCAATGAACAAAGTTTCCAAGCGCTAACACGCACCATTCGCCTCTTTGAGATCGCAGTTGACATGAAGGTCAATTGGGGAACCAAAACAGAAGGTTAGGGGCTCAACTGGCACGACACCCAACCACCGACAGATCCCCCGGTAGAGTGGAAGGAAAAGAATGCAGCCATCACGGTGATGGGAATCAACATCATAGCCCTCGGCCCACCGCCAAACCACGGGGACGCAATAGTTGACCTTGCCATACAGCGCATGGCATGATGGGATACAAAACCGACCTCCTTGGTTGGTCGGGCTCTTGCAATCAACAATTCCATCTTCGCCTCAATATAGTACAAAGTGGCCTTCTAGCCGCTTACTAGTAAACAACTCACAAAACTAAGACAAACGGTCACGATCTACCTTTAGAAAAATAACCACAATGATATCCGCTGCATAAAGCGACTACCTTGGGACACACTTGTCCAACCAAGGAGTAAAGGTTGTATGCGCATTATCGACCCGGACAGAAAAATTAGGGCACTGTTACTTAAGCTCCTCATCAGACTGCTCCTAGGCAATGACATCCCATTGACCCCTTACACATTGATCCAGATTGAGTGCCTTGCCCCAACTTCACCCCAAGACCGACCGGTGCACCCCCTCTACCGGTTAACTAATCCAACCTGGTCTATCCGAGTTTGCCCCCGACTGGACCGGGACAGGTCCCCGGCAGGCCAAGCAAGATGGGACCTGTGCACGGACCCAATGTGGCCAGCGATGTTACGAATGTGGAGAGAAGATGGCCCAAAATGGACCAAGGTCCCACTTAGATGGCACAAAATCAAAAGGCAACCCCTATTTGGCCATCCCCAAATCCTGGACCCCACAGGGTCACCCTTCTCCCTAAGCCGCAAGTCCAAATGACTACGATGGGCCAAGAAGGGCATTTACACAGTAAGGGATCTGTGGAATGATAACACAACAACCTGGGAATCATGCGAAACAATCCGTACCAAGTCAGGACTTTTCCCCCACCTACACCAAGAGCTGGCAGAGATCCAGGAAGCGATCCCTTTGGCATGGGTGTGGGCTCTGCGGAAAGGTCCAACTTTAACTAAAGGGGACTGGGTGGTCAACATCGAAGCCTTGCACCTGCCCATTACCATCTACAAGATTGATAAAGGCTCCTCTTCGACCTCCCTCAAACTAATAGCATTTACCCCAGAGATGTCAGGGGCGAGATGATCCCTTCTTCATAGGATGGAACAACTCGACGTATTGGGCAGCCCTGCAAAAGTTCAATGTTGACCACCCAGTCCCCTTTAGTTAAAGCCCTGCAAAAGTTGCGAACTTGGAAGGAAAAACATACATCACTCTTAAGTAGGGCCCTCGTCATAAATAATGTGGTTTTTGCGGCACTCTGGTGTAAATCAGCAATCTGGCCTTTGACTAGAGCGACTTTCAAAACTTTGAAATAGCAAGTGGCAGCCTTTTTATGGAGGTGCAACCATGAAGCTCAAAATACTATTAGTAGGGTAGCTTGGGATGCGGTGGTGCAACCACAGGCATAAGGAGGTCTAGGTATACTTGACCCAGCCACCCAAACAACCGCCCTCTCACTCCAATGGTTGAAGTGGCTTATCTGCATCCCTGGACTTACCACAGAGCCCCTAGCCATAGAACAACTATCGAGACTGGCACCAGAAGCCGCACGATATGTACACCCAATTACTTGGTTAGACGATGTATTCTGGGCAATCCCCAAACGCTCCACCCGTCCCCAACCACACACAAATTGTGCTGCTGTCCGCATGGACCTGCAAAAAGATGACTTTTGGACCAAGCTAATTAAAGAT